GCAGGACGGGCCTCCTCTAGACACGGCCCCGCAGCCCTGTGGGCGCTCTCCAGGTGACTCCTCCGCTGGCCACCAGCCAAACCAGCACGTCCAGCTGTCCCCACCGTGGAGGCGCTGGTGGGACCGTCTCCACTGCTCCCTGTGGCCACGGAGGGCGCCACGGCCTCGGCCCGCAGGACAAGTGTCCAGAGGAGAGACAGTCCACCAGCTGCCTCTGCGCCCGACGCTCTGCGTGAACGCAGCCATACAGGCTCGACTCCGCCCGGCACGGGGTGGGGGTGGCGGTGGGGAGAGAAGCTGCAGGGAATGACGTGCAGAAGGAAGGGTTCTGCTGGTTCTGGTGGGTTCGGGACAGGACAAACCCCTACAACTGTGCACTAAACAGAATGAACGTCACCGCATGTAAATCACACCTCAATGTAACAATGACCGTGAGCCCGGCCGCGCGGCTCAGTGGCTGAGCATCAACCTATGAACCAGGAGGTCAGGGTCTGATTCCCGGTCAGGGCACAGGCCTGGGTTGCGGGCTCCATCCCCAGTGGGGGGTGTGCAGGAGGCAGCCGATCCATGATTCTCTCTCATCATGGATGTTTCTCTCCCTCTCCCTTCCTCTCTGAAATCAATAAAAATGTATTTCAAAAAATAAAATAAAAATGTTCACGAAATCAAGACAGAACTGAGACGCACGGCAGAACGAGCCAGCCTGCGGGGCTCCCTCCTCCTTGCTCTCGCCTCCCCGCTCCCCTGCTCCCCCTCCAGGACCTCCCGGGCCCCGTGGGCAGCGACAGGGCTCTTCCCTGGGAGGCGGGCCTGGCCCGGGCCTCCCTGTGCTAAGTGGCTCCGCTGCCTGTGTCCACTCGCCTCCAGCCTTCCTGGCATCACCCGTCTGGGCTTGAACGGGGCCTGAGCATAGCGTGTGGCCTTGGGCGAGTTCCTGGGCCTCGCCGAGGGCTGCCCTGGGATCACGGGGTTCATTCTGGGGCGCAGAGGCCGGGGCACAGGAGAGTCCCCTCGTGTCTGACTAGCGGGTGTGCGTGGCTCAGCTCAACGGACCTTATGCTCAGAGAACTATCCTGGAGAACGAATTTTAAAAATGTGTCCAGGTTCCGTAAGCCACTGCCACGACTCAGCCCGGCCCAGGCCCCCTGCAGACTGTCCGTCTGTCCTGGGCGGCTGCAGCCGCTCTAACTGCTACCAGATCTGTGTTCGCTTCCGTACACCAGAGCCCCGCCTCCTGCTGAGCTAAGACGCGCCTGCCTTTGTAGGAAACTACAGTGGGGCCTTGACTTACGAGTTTAATTCGTTCCGTGACGGAGCTCGTAACTCAAATTACTCGTATGTCAAATCATAAAGTGAATGAGACACGTGATGCTGGGCTGATGTTGTGGCGTTCACTGTGATGTTCGCTGCGCCAACTAGCGGTGGGGTATCTGAAGCTGGCTCGTAACCCGAATTTTAGCTCGCAACTCAAAGCAAAAAATCGGCCGAGACGGCTCGTATCTCGAAAAACTCGTTAGTCGGGACACTCGTAAGTCAAGGCCCCACTGTACTTCCTGCGGCAGAGCCAACAGGGCTACGAGCCGCCCGCCCGCCCGCGCTGGGCTTCTGAGAACATCCCTGCAGCCGGCAGAGACCCCGTGGCTGACGGTCAGCAGCACCGCGCCCTTTGCCTCTTTTTCAAACAGGAGCAGCCAAGGATGGTGACAGACCACCATGTCCCCACGGCGTGATGTGCGGCCTCCCCCCGACAGGTAACGCCACTGCTCTCCGGGCGGGTTTCCAGACGTGCCCCCCACAGCACCCACTTCTCTTCCT